CGGATCGGAACTTTGCGCACTGGCAAGTCCCTAAGGCTACCAGTGACCGAAAAAAACGCGTTACTACAGACGATGAACGATAGGAATTCTTCGTCATGCCGTTGGCTGCAAAGGGCGGCTCTGGTTTTGTTTCTCACGCGCGATGTCGGGGGTGTTACGCGGTCTGCTGGGCAGAGGTGTGACAGCTTACTTAGATGTCGGAAGGTGTTAACAGCGGTCTAGCTGGAGCAGAAGGTGTGACAAGCTTAAACTTAGATGTCGGAGGTGCTTTACGACGCGGTCTGCTGGGCAGACGGTGTGACAGCTTACTTAGATGGTTCGAAGGGTGTTACGGACGGGCGGTCTGCCGGGCAGAGGTGTGACAGCTTACTTAGATGTCGGAGGTGTTACGCGGTCTGCTGGGCAGAGGTGTGACAGCTTACTTAGATGTCGGAGGTGTTACGCGGTCTGCTGGGCAGAGGTGTGACAGCTTACTTAGATGTCGGAGGTGTTACGCGGTCTGCTGGGCAGAGGTGTGACAGCTTACTTAGATTCGGAGTGTTTACGCGGTCTTCTGGGCAGAGGTGTGACAGCTTACTAGATTGTCGGGGGTGTTACGGCGGTCTGCTGGGCAAGAGGGTGTGACAGTCTTACTTAGATTCGGAGGTGTTACGCGCGGTCTCTGCTGGGCAGAGGTGTACAGCTTACTTAGATTCGGAGGTGTTTACGAACTACGACTGCGGGTCTGCTGGGAGATGTGTGCGCTTACTTAGATGTCGGAGGTGTTACGCGGTCTGCTGGGCAGAGGTGTGACAGCTTACTTAGATGCCGTCACCGTGAGTGGAAACGCTGTCAGAACACTCATCCCTGCTGCAATCTGGCTTGCATCGGCTTCGGTAAGCAGGGTTGGCAGTGACAAGCTCGAAGGTGGGCCCTTTCGTTGCCGGATCAAGTTCTTGGGACACCTTGTGCCAGCTTTCGGACTGACTCCCGAGTCTTAGGCAGGCTCTCTGCAAGGCAATAATTTTGCACTTTTCGGACATGCAGTAGGGCCTCGAGGTTAGCGCAGCCGTATCGGACACAGGTCTGGGGTGCGTGTCTTCGCGACGAGATGCTGATGGAGCCGACAGACCTTTCACTGAGCTTGGAAAATGTTTTCGGATGGCAAGAAAAATTGGCACACCCGGGACGAGGAGATTTTTGCGTCTATTTTCGTTCTTCGAAAGTTTCGTGCCTTTCTGCCAGCTAAACAGTTCTAGCGGTTTACAGATCATGGCGGTCTCCAATAACTATGAAATACCAATGATTCCAGGGGATGTTATGCCATATAGATCGAGGAGCTGGAGGGGCTTCAGTTCATCACACAGTACCGACGGGGAGCTGGAAACTGTCTCGCCAACGCACTATCCCGGGTGCATGTTCATGCGACTCGAGCTCCGATGATTGCCGCCACTCCCGACGTCACGTCTCACACTGCGGAGGAGCTTAGCGTCGAGGAGCTAGAGGTCGCTCGGCGGGAGGACAGGCCGTTGCAAGGCTTGCATTAAGAGCGCCGGTTGGCCGGATGTAGGAGAACGCCTGCAGGCGGTGGCAACAGCAGGGCTTGGAGCCCAAGATCGATCGCCGGCGTGGTCTCCGTCTTGAAAGGAAAAGAAACACGAGATATCCATTGAGTCCGCAACGGCTAATCACTCTGGAACCCCACCTCAGGTGCGACAGGTCCGGTTATTTCGGTGCGAACAGGACCCGTGCTTTGGGGCTGCAAGCGGTGTACATGTGAGCAAGGATGGATCGACATATATTATGGAACTATGACCGCAGCTTTTTGGTTTGTACCGGCTCCAACGAGCCTCAGCGTTGGTTGAAAGCACCGATAGAGATAACTTATTAGCCAACAACTCCGTGGTAGCATTCTGCTGTGGATCTGGTGAGACCGTATGGCCGGATACGAACAGAAAGGGGAAATCATGACGTTCTTGTCGCCCTGGACTGCTGACCAAAAACGTTGAGCTAGCAGCAATGCCTGATAAGACAACTAAAACCGTAGCTCGGGCGCTTGTAGATGTCGTTTACAGGCATAGACTTGGACATGGACAGGAAGAAGGAGAAAGATTTTTTGAAACCAGCAGGGTGGAAATGATACCCAATGCCAAAGAGGTATATAGGGTATTTATGAAGGCACCGAAAAGGCCGGGAATGCCAGGAAAGCTCCAGACACTGTGGAAGGCGCCTTTCTTTGCCATCAGCTGCAGGCAAAGTAACACGCATTGAATCTACAAACAAGATAACTTTCGGCAGCGACATATCCGCCATTAGGATCAACTGAAGTCTGTAGAACGGCTTGGGAAGACTAAGGAAGAGCCGCTGCTGATCCAGACCGAAGAAGGGGCAGGAACACCCACAGCACGGCAAGCATCAGCTTTGGCAGCAGAAGGCAAATCAACCAACCATCCAAGTGGACAGGCATTGGCTGCCTACAAGAAGGCGTCATTTTGATCCTAACTACTCTAGTCGAGGATGAAAACCAGTCACTTGAAGACAGCCAACGAGAAGCAGCAAAGCAGATCGATTCACAAGCGGCGCCCTGGCGCCGTGTTAGAGAACGACGGCCTCTGGGCGGATATGGCGAGTGGACGGTTCAAAGCAAGAGGTCGGGAGTGGGAGAAGTAGCAAAGCAGGTCGATTCGCAAGCGGCGCCCTGGCGCGGTGTTAGAGAACGACGGCCTCTGGGCGGATAGGGCGAGTGGACGGTTCAAAGCAAGAAGTCGGGAGTGGAAAGGGGGAAAGGGGCATAACTGGGAGGGGAGAGTGTAGTAGGTGGGATAAGGAGCGCTTGCCGCCTCGTTGGGCGGTGGTTCGATGTTGACCTGGTGACCTAGCCGGACGGCACGGGAGACGACACGGAACGCCAGTCGTCTGTAACCGGTGAATGAGGACGATCACATCCTTATTGATGCGGAGCACAACTGCCTCTAGATGTTGAGCGCGATGGAAATAATTGCATCCAGGCCATGCACAATGCATTAGGCATCACCAAGCATCGAAAGGAGGTGGCGGCTTACGCGCTGCTCTACGCAGGCAACTTCGTAAGCAAGGTCATGTGACGGTGCCTTTTAGATAATATTGTCGCGGATAGTCTACATCTGAAACATGGAAGCGACAAATCACACGCATAGGTGATGGCGGCCCGACCGTTCGCCGATTCAAAAAAGTCTTCCGCGACACGGTAAATCACGCCATACTTCAAGCATGACCTACGCAATAAATAAACCGTAGCTTTATTCAGTAAAATACCAACCAGAACGATTCCTTCATCATCTACATTAGCGTTTTTTTAGGACAAATATTCGGCTACTAGGTCTCTGCGTCCGTGGAGAGAGAGAGAGAGAGAGAGAGAGAGAGAGAGAGAGAGAGAGAGAGAGAGAGAGAGAGAGAGAGAGAGAGAGAGAGAGAGAGAGAGAGAGAGAGAGAGAGAGAACTGGTCTTTTGAAATCATTTTCAAGTCCTGCCAGGTTATAAAGTTTTACACAGAGTAGCTTTCTCTCCCACACATGCGTTTCTCACACGTGTCCCGCTCGGATCTGTTTAACGGACTTCCAATCGAAATCACTTGATCATATTGAGTTCAGATTTCCAAGGGGGGGGGGGGCACTGGACTTGACCGGCACGCGCCTCAGATTAAATCGTGACGTCAGGCCAATATCTAGTCTGGTTTTAATCAACAGTAAAGGACTTGGGACATCCCCAGTACAGACCTCTGATAGTTCAGCTTTACGAGTCTCAGGCAAGACACGGAATGTATCAAAATCCAAACAAACAGATGTGAAAATAATGCAGTCTCGGTCGACTTATATACGCATTATTAGCTATTCATTCGCGTGCAAGGTTAAACAATCACGATGCAATGAATGGCGATGGAGAAAAGCAAAGGTATGCAAGTGGAGATAGCAATGCAAAACACCTCTTTTTTTGACGATTTGCTTGCATTTGGGCCATGACTGCTCCTGAGGACCTCCGGGATGGAGAACCAAACATTTGCTGTCCGGGACCTGTTTAGGTTACAGCTGGCGTCCCCACCCTGATATCACCCGTCCTGGCCGAACTCTGAGCTCCAAGTAAACAGACGGCGGCCAATCTGGAAGGATGTTTGTGACTCTGGGCTGGTTCCACGAGCGCCAAACCTGCCACCGAGCCCTGACTGCGCAGAGGACGGATCTCTGACCCATGCAGGAGACGGATCTCTGACCCATGCAGGAGACGGATCTCTGGCCCATGCAGGAGACGGATCTCTGACCCATGCAGGAGACGGATCTCTGACCCATGCAGGAGACAAATACTCTCAACACTCCCCGACTGCATTGCAAACTCGCACTTGTGTGCATAATCAGGTGAAGATCGCAACAGTTGCCAGTGGTTTGTCCTCCACAAAAACCAATAAACAAGGCCGGCGCGGTACGGCAATCTAACGCACGAAAATCCGTGGCGGTGGCTTCACGTTTCGAGTCCTACCTGTTGGAAACAGCTTGGACGAGAAAAGAGCAGTGCACAATCCACTATGTAGGTTTATCCCCAACATTGGCAGTATGGAATCGACAGGTGTGGATTTTGTGCGCTAAACCGATGGTGTCGATGACTATCTGGATCGCTCAGACCGCTGAACCGATGGTGTCGATGACTATCTCGATCGCTCAGACCGCTGAACCGATGTGTCGATGACTATCTCGATCGCTCAGACCGCTGAACCGATGTGTCGATGACTATCTCGATCGCTCAGACCGCTGAACCGATGTGTCGATGACTATCTCGATCGTTCAGACCGCTGATCCGATGTGTCGATGACTATCTCGATCGCTCAGACCGCTAAACCGATAGTGTGGATGACTATCTAGATCGCTCAGACCGCTGATCCGATGGTGTCGATGACTATCTGGATCGCTCAGACCGCGTGTTTTCAGAGAGTCCTGTCTTAGTTCCTCCCCTTGTGCAGGAACGGAATCAGTCCTAAAATCGGCTGTACTCACCAGTCCAGCCGGGCGACGCGTCGTTCTGGATCGACCGCTCAGCGTTGCTTCTGGCGATGTAGAACCATTCGGACGTGTTGGACATGTAGTCGTACTCCGCAGCCAAGTCCTTGGACAGAATGGTCCCCTCGGGCAGTCGGTACGCAAAGGGACAGTACAGGTGGTAGTCCTTGTACTGCGCCTGGTCATAGCAGTTGCCGGCTGCGAAAATGTCCCCGTCGGCCTCTATTAGAGACAGGACAAGCGCGTGTAGCAAGTTCTCACTGTTCATCACGTCGGGCGAGTACTTCCATAGCCTGGTCAGCAGGTTGGCCATCTTGACAGTGAGCTCGGCCTGGTAGCGGAAGCGCTCCTGGCCGTACCGGTCCACCACGCCCTCCAGCTGGAACTCAGTGCCGGCGGTGCAGTTCTCACCCAGCCGCTGCTGCGACTCCACCAGCTGCAGGAACTTGGTGACGATGCCGCGCTCCGGGTCACTGCGCGAGTCGGCGGCTGCCGGCTCTTCGGCCGGCGAGTCGGTTCGCCCGAGCTCTTTTCCCGTGGTCAAGGAGCGTAGATACTCCTCCTCAGAGTCCGTCAGCAGGTCGTTCAGCGACCCGGCAAGCTGCAGTGCTCCGTTCAGCTCCTCCACCACGGACCGTCGCAGTACCCTAGCATCCACGTCCTCCCCCAGCCAGGCGTCTGATGCAGGCGAGGAGGCCTGCGGAGATGACTCATCGTCCTCTGTCTGGTTTTCTGGTGAGGTAGCCTCCAGGTAGCGTTCTTCGTCTTCTGGCAACGTCTCGAGCGAGGTGGCTTTCACCTGTGCGTTCTGAGCTGCAGTCCACCACTTAGGCGTGACAGTCTTTCGGTAAGGTATTGGGCTCTTCGTCCAGCCCTCGGTTGTAGGTGGTGGCATCATTGTCTCTCTGTACGATTCTGTGGCTTGCGTCGAGTCATCGAGTGCTGGGATGTTACCATCCAAGTCCTGTTCGTGGAATCCACTCCCGTCTTTTGTTGAATTGGCGTCCAGCTGTGGTTTGTTTTCCTCCATCCTGCTCGTGGTTGAGCCGGTCTCTTGGTGCAATTCTGGGCCATCTGGCGGTCCCCGTGCCGAGGCAGCCAGCACGCGCGGGCTTCTGTTCCCCACATGGATATTTGATGATTCTGAAACCAGGCGCGGTCCCTCGATCTGCGTCCTGTCATCATTTGACGTTGTTTCCAGGTGCCCTTGCCTGTTCTCCGTCCACTTCAAGGATGCTGACGAGGTGGCATCCACGTGCAGCTCTTTGACCTCCGTCCAGGCCTGAGAGGGTAACACCTCCAGGTGTGGTCCCCTATTCGTCCGGCCGTGAGGCGAGCTGGTCTCCGCGCCCAGTCCCTTGTCCTCCGTCGCGACCTCCGCTGCCGCCGGCCGGTCGGTGGCGGACGCCAGCGCGTGATGGGCCGGCAACGTACAGCAGACGGCC